AGACGAAGAGGTCGTCGTTGTGGTCGCTGTCGTCCTCGTCATCATTGGTGAGGGGAGAGTGTTGTGCGGGACGTGTTGGTGGTGATGGTGGTGATGGGGGCGCAAAGGGGTCCCCGAAGAGGTCATCTTCAGTGTTGTGACTATTATTCGCCATTTTATGCTTTGAATGACTGATCACTGAATCACTCACTGTTTGCTTCACTTCACAAATGCGTCGCTTTTATGGCTAAATGACTACTCCTTTGCTGAAACTTTCACTGCCAAACACCTCAACGCCTCTTCCCTTGCGTTCAATAGAGTAGATGTCTTGCAGTGAAGTAGTATTGCCGTCGCTCTCAACAACTCTGGTCTCATAAAAGTGAGTTTCACTTCAATTCCTCCAAACTTACTATTCGTTCAAATATTGACTCATTAATTGTTTTAAACTTTTGTGTAATCGCTAACATATATCACACTCTGATTAATATCGCATAGAGTTTAAGTGACTTTATCTTAAGTTTTATAAGTATTCAAGAATTAAAACATTATTTCGAAAGAATATATTAAATAGTGTTAAAGAATATTAAAAAGTGCTATAATGGGTAACAAAGTGACTACATTTACTGATCAACAGTTAGAAAATTATCAGGTAAATTATATTATTATCTGTTTTATTGCAATTAATAGAATTACAGTATTGTGTATTTAAATAAGCATTTTTAAAAATATCTTAAAATACTTTATCTATCATACAGTATGTGATTTAAAAATTATTAAGACCAATTTGTTCATTTCTTTAATAGGATTGCACTTATTTTACCAGAAAAGAGATTTTAACGTAAGTGTTATTTATTTATTAACAAATTAATAGATTAATACAAGGTAAATTTTCCATAATATACAATAATTGTGTCAGTAAATAAAAGCAACCAATTAGTTTTATCTGTATACTATACCTATAGCCTATAGGTCACTAACAAGTAAGTTACGGTATTATCGATTTCTAACAAAAATGTAATCATTTAGATCTTGATTATTAGTTTGAGTATGCGGTCAAACATTGTTCCATAGTATCAGTTAACTTGTAAATGCTTTCAATGTAATCTCTGTTTGCATTAACTTACTGTTAACTTGAATGTGAATTTGTGTTAACATCTGATAAGAATAGACTAGTTTTGAATGCGTTTGTTAATAATACAATAAAAGCTAAAGTTTTGGGCGTTTTTCCAATAAGTCAAATGAGAAACGCCTTAATTCTATCAATTATTAAACATTATGTTTGCTTTTATTAAGTTTGAATATTACAACTAAAATTAAATTCACCCTTTAAAAATTGTATCCTATTAATTTTATAAATCACTTAAAATTAACTAAAAAATTTAAATATTATTCGTTTATACAGTACTATTAAAAATAATTATTATTTTACAAAACTATATTAAATTTAAACCTAACAATTTTAAACCTAGTTATAAATTATAGACTATAATCAAATAAACAGAACTTGTTGACTTATCCATTAATGCCAAATACAGTATAAATAACTTTACCATTTAAATAATACCAGTATAGTTAATGGTCAAAAAAAGGACATACATGTAGTTAAATAAGCATTAAGAATAAGTGTCATTTTGATTAAGCAGAGAATGTGTCTATTTTAGAGCATTTCAGAGATTTCGGGAAATGGAGCCCAAAAAAGTACCACAAGTGATGACTTGTGATGAATCGCATACAGTATCCATTCCGATGGATAAAATCGAGAAAATGGCAGAATTGAAGGTAAAATGTATGCAAACACACAATAAATGATTAAATGATTGAACAAACTTTGATTACTAAATAAACCGAAAGGAAAACCCATTTAAGCAAAGAATATGTAAAGTGTTTTCACACGACGGCAGTGGAGACATGACTTTTGATGACTTCCTGGATATGCTGTCAGTGTTCAGCGAACAGGC